GCACAATAATATACCACAGGGCATGCTTAATGCAAAATGTGAAATTATAGTGTGATTAAAAAAAAAATAATAATAATAATAATAATAGTATGAAAATTATATTTCTAGATTTTAGCATTCTTGGATGCTGAAATAAGTCACATGATACCCAGTATAGGTCAGTTCATGGGATCAAGGCGTAAGGGAACTAGGATATATAAATTAATAGATTAGTGATATATAAATTAATAGAATCGATCTTGCATAAATTAGAAAAATGAATAACATATAAGTTAGTAAACGCTGCATAAATAATGTCGTAATAGATTCAAGTGCATAAATAATGTAGTAATAAAGGTTAATAAAAAATGGCATGATGGGAAATAAATTAATTAAAAAGTCAAACATGCATGACCAAAGTATGATGTAAGATCACCTGTTAATTAAATAAATAAGAAAATCAATCTTACAGATCGATACCTACACTTTTGCTTGTTCGTAAGAATAAATTATTAAAACCCTGGCTTGTAATTTTTTGTCTTGAAGGTAGAAGGTTGAAGTCGTCGTTAAGTAAAGGGACAAGGTGTCGATATTACAATGAACGTAGTGAGGCCACAAATGTGAATTAACAAACCAAGCTATTTGGGCAAGATTTTAGAGTAACTTATACTTTAATTAACCCTATTATGACAGTAAAACCTGGGCATATTAAACAATACCTCTTGCAATGTAATAACAAAAAAATATATATATTTGTTAAAATAATATAAAACATATTAAAGAATTTACATATTGAATTATATACCTTTGCTCTGTTTTCAGTGCATCTCAACCATTCAAGCTATTAATTTTAACAATAAAAACTTGTAATATTTTAGTACCTTGTACTCTTGTGTTTTCTTTATAATTTGAACATATTAGACGTGATGTTCTTATAACAATGAGCACAAAATATTTGCAAAGCAGTTCTATTACAGGAGCAATAGTGAATCTATTGAAAACTTCGTTGACACTATGAAGGATATGCTACTATGAAAGACTGAGACGAAACCAAAATGAGACTTGTAGTTGGCTTGCATGTTGAAGAACCATTGTGTGATTGGGTTAGAAATATTGTGGAAAATAATGCCTCCTAGAAAGACGTAAAAGCTACTATTCTAAAATCTGAAAATCGAAGTACAATATTGAGATGAAAATTGAGCGTTTGATAAACCTCAAACTAAATAAAGATGAAAGTATCATCTTCTATACCAACCAATTCGATGCTTGTGCTAAAAGGATGAAAAATAAAGTTAGCAATCATGAAGTAAAATATTAGTATCTCAGAGGCCTCCCAGTCAAGTATAAAGAAAAAGTAAAGCAACATTACCCTGAGATCTATGAGGAAACAAAAAACTGGGCGATCAAGATCAAGAAGCATGAAAAAAGTGACGAGTTCGATCTGAAAAAGACCAATATAATAGGAGAAGAATCGACTTATCAGATAGATCTCAATGTTGATGAGTTGGCTAATGCCTTTTCTGAATTAAAGATTTATCAAGTTAGTTAGAGCAGTCAAGGTGAAAAGGGCGCTAAAAGAATTGACAAGCTGGAATCTATCATTAATGAGCTTACCAAGCTTGTTAGAGATATAGCCAACAATAAAAGTCAACCAATCCCAACCAACAAAATCAGCCTAGCCGGAATCAACCAAGAGACATCTAAGTGAATTGGCGACAAAGGCAAAATCTTACCTATCCATCACCAAATAGTCAGTCTGATCAAACCAACCCGCACAGATGTTATAATTGTGGCCACATATCAAGAAATTGTCTAACCAGAGCCCTGCCCAATCCACCTACTAATCACAGTGTTGAAGCAAGGAATTTCGATCTGAAAAGTGTTAATCTACAAGGAGCCAGCATCTGATATTTTGAGATAACTGAAGTCTCACCTGATGGTGGTGATGAATATCTTAAAATTGAAATAGTTAAGGGTGAACCAATATTTGATGTAAAGAATTATAATTTGAGAAAGCATAAGCACTCTGAGAATGAATCTGCTCTTAATCTACTTGAAAAAGGAATAGAGTTAATGAGAATCCAACCAACTGAGAATTTCAAACAAAAGGAGCGATAATGTACATACCTTTAACTGAATTAACCCAGGAACTTGATGTCTTGAAGAAGATTGCTAAGCTCGAAATGACAGTTACCTTGGGTCAGCTTTTTAAATGGTTGCCAAAAGCCTGTGTAGAAATATTAAGGGCCCTAACAAGAAAGAAAAAAGAAGCTGATGTGTCTTTTTTGACACTAATATTAGTATAGTAAGGGCTATTCAAATCAATTTTAACAAACAAGTAAATGACGTGCCAATGGAGACAATTAGAATAAACAACAAATTAATTGACATACCCATTGATCCCAGGTCCTGTTTAAACCTCATGCATGTTAATTATGCTAATAAAAGAGGCTTTGTTTGAAAATCAGCTAAAGGAAGAGGCAGAATAGCCAATAATAGGGTTAGTAACTTTGTTGGTTACATACCTAATATTAAAGTAGAAGTTGACAAGGTAATCATTGTTCAAAATTTTTATGTAATGCAAACAGCCAGCTTCAATATTCTGTTAGGAATACCCTAGATACCCACTGCCAAATGTAACTTAAAATAGAATTAAATGACCTGTGTGTCGAAATATTTAATAATGCTAAAAATGTGGCTGTAATAAAAGTCCATGAAATCGAACCAGTCAGTGATAAACAATTATCTAGTTCAATTGTGAACAAGTAGTGTATTAGAACACTACGAATAAGTCTGAGACTGGGTATGTAAATGAGTGTAAGCCTGAAGTAATCATGCGACTAACAAAAGATAATCTAATCATTCTTGATATAAATAAAGAAATTCTGGCCCAAGATCGAGAATATCTCAAAAGATGTTTGCTTGAGAAGGTTCCTGAGATCTTTGCCTTCAACTTATCAGAGATGGGGAAAATGAATTTAATCAAATATGAAATTCAAACAGGAAGAAAGAAAGTTTCCGTTACTAAAGTATAGTCCCTTAGGATTAATAATCTGGCCAGAGCTCAATTATTTGAGAAAAAATTATGTAAGATGTTAAAAAATGAGTTACTCAAAAAAGGGATAGGACAATATACTTACTACTATTTCTAGTTAAATAAGAAAGACAATGGCACTGATCAACTACGTATAGTAGTAATATGTGTCCCCTTAATAAGTATATAGTGAAAGATAGGTACCCTCTGCCCTTGATTCGCGACATATTGAAAAAAGCCATAGAGCATGACTAGTATTCCTTTGTTGATGCTAATAAAGAATACTGGCAGACGAATTAAAGAAAAGGATAGAGATAAGGTGGCAGTATCGATTCTGCTAAGCATCTTGTGTTATATAGTTATATGTATAGAGTTGAAAAATACGAGCAAAACATTCCAATGTTTAATGAATGTAGTTTTAAATAGTGATGAATAGAAAGTTAGTGCTGTGGTATAACAAGATGATGTAGGTCTCTAGACCAATGGGGAGTTAAAAGATCACATTGATAAATTTGTAAAACTGGCACAAAGCTTCAAACAAGTGGGGCTTACCTTTGCAGCTAAAAAGTGTCACCTAGTGTACAAAGAGTTGAGTATGTATGAATACATAGTAAGAAAGAATGGGTTACAGGTTGATTTGAAGCGTACAGAATTAATCGAACAATAGCAAAGGCCTATCTGTGTAAGAGACGTTAGGTCATTTTTGGGCATTATGAATTACTACTTACGCTTTATAAAAGATTTAGTAAAATAGCGAAGCCTCTTACTGAATTAACAAAAAAGGATGTGGGTTTCCATTGGTCTGATGAACAAGATGAGTCATTTCAAACGCTAAAGGCTCTGTTGGCAGAGAACATTATATTGAAAGCTCCAAATTGGCAAGATACAAAAATTGGAGTTTGTCTATATCAAATATATGTCGATGGTGTGATGTTTTATTGGGTGTAGTATTAGAACAAGCTGATGAAAATGAAAGATTGTGCCCTATAACATTTGAATCCCAAAAGTTGAATGCCCATGAGTTATATTACACAGTTACTGAAAAAAAGTATCTTAGTATAGTTTATGAATATAATATATATAAGTGCTATGTTAGTGGAATGACCTTTGATATTTGGATAGATCATTAAGCACTTGAGTGGCTTTTTCGCAAAGCACAGTTAAAGGGTCGCTTAATGTGCTAAGTTGTCATATTGCAGGTCTTTGATTTTCATGTAAAATATAAGCCAGAAAAGAAATATACGAATGCTAACGGAATGTCGAGATATCCAGATCTTTATGTAGACAAAGAGCAAACTGATAAGCAATATGTCAAAAATTTGTTGATGAAGGTTGGAATAGAAGAAGCAAAGATACAAGATCTGGAGGCTATCAAATATTTTTTACCTATTTTGAGTGGCCAGCTCACATGTCAAATAAGTCGCTTCTTTAACTCAGATGAAAATTAAAAATTTATTGTTTAATAGGTGGTTAATTGTTTTGAAGAGCAGCTAAGGGCAAACCACCCTGAAGATGATCTATAATGAAGCAAAAAAGAGCTAAATCTTAAAGACTAACCATGAAGGTCTTGTTGATGAAGGTGGTTATAGAGGAATCAATACTACAATGCATAAATTATTGATAAATTATAAGTGGAGTGTTAGAAATATATACAATGACGTTAGAGATTATGTGATGACATGTGATATATGTCAGAAATGTGAAAAAAAAATAACCAAGAAATACATTTATATGCCAGCCACCAGTTGGATATTCTATAAGCTGTTTGTTGACTGTATAGAACCTCTGCCTAGGATGAGTGGGGGCTACGAATATATAGTTGTGGGTATTGAAGACCTTACGAAGTTTATTGAAGTCTAGTCATTAAGAAAGAAAAATGCAAAGTCCATAGTTATATTCGTGTGAGAGAATATTATAACTCGGCATGGATGTTTCACAGAATTGGTATCAGATCATAAAACCAAATTTAAGAACACCTTGGTGGATAAGCATACTAGCCGTTTAGGCATTGAACAATGTTTTAGTGCTAGTTATCAACTAGAAGCCAATGGAAGGGCAGAACGAACCATGCAGAAACTTATCTGAATATTGAGAAAAGTCTGTGCCGAAAGACAAAACAGGTGGCATGAATATGTATGTGAAGCCGTTTGGGTGTTGAATATCACTGTGAATGATCTTGGGTACTCGCCCTTTCATTTAGTATATAGTAGAGACACTATAGCCTTAATTGAACTAACCCTTGATAGTTATCATATGATCATGAGTAACAATGAATAGACCACCAATGAATTACTAGAATTCCAAATGCTGCAAATGAAAGAACTGGTTGAGGATTTGAAACAAGCACGACAAAGTCAGAATAAAATTCGTGAGAAATAGAAAGAATTTCACGACCATCATGCCAACCAGTATAAGGAAAAAATAAATATAGACAACATGGTGTTGGTGTATAACTCTACATTAGAGACAACCTATTTGAGAAAGTTAGATTACTGCTGGATAGAACCTTATATAGTCAGGACCATAAAAAACCATGGTTAATATTATTTGAATGAAGTAGATAATACAGAAAAAAGGTACCCACTTACCCAAAATAGAGTTAAACGGCTACTCCAAAGGGCAGAAAATAATAGAGATTACGATCTCTAGAATGATAATTGTGGGGATCTAGCTCCTTGGCAGAATAATATAACACAAAGCATGCTTAATTCAAAATGTGAAATTACAATATGATTAAAAAAACAAAAAAAAAAAATAATAATAATAGTATAAAAATTATATTTCTTGATTTCAGCATCCTTGAATGCTGAAATAAGTTACGTGATGCTGGTATAGGTCAGATCATGAGATCAGGGTGTAAGGAAACTAGGGTACATAAATTAATAGATTAGTGACACATAAATTAATAGAATCAATCATGTATAAATTAGAGAAATGAGTAACATATAAGTTAGTAAGTGCTGCATAAATAATGTTGTAATAGATTCAAATGCATAAATAATGTAGTAATAAGGATTAATAGAAAGTAGTGTAATGGGAAATAAGTTAATTAAAAAGTCAAATGTGCGTGACCAAAGTATGATGTAAGATCACCTATTAATTAAATACATAAGGGGATTGATCTTACAGATAGATACCTACACTTCTGCTTGTTCATAAGAATAAATTATTGAAACTCTGACTTGTATTATTGTGGTACTTGAAGGTAGAAGGTTGAAGTTGTCATTAAGTAAAGGGACAAGGTGTTGATATTACAACGAACATAGTGAGGCTATGAGTATGAATTAACAAACCAAGCTATTTGGTCAAGATTTTAGAGTGACTTATATTTTAATTACCTCTACCATAACAACAGCCACATTGGTATATCTGATTCTGTTTGCGTAGAGAAGCATAAGTATCCTTTTCATTGTATTTTGACAGAGATTACTATAACAGTCTCTGTATAAGTGATTATGTCTACAGGTTTACAAAAGGTTCGTTGTAAACTTGTATAGAGCAATGAACTGCAATATGTCTAGTTTTTTAACAATAGTTGCAATAGTTGGTAGGGCAATTAGCAAAAAGGTAAGCAGATAAGTTGCAATTTCTATATACTCAAGAAAAATTTTGAGTACAATGATAACAAGGTTGTTAAATGGTTCAGTTGTTGGAGTTGTCTGTATCTAATTTGG